CACATGGGTCAGGGATGGGACAGGGATACAGGGACAGGGCATCCACACAGATCAGGGATGGGGCCAGGGGTCTCATGCTGTCCCCACAGGCCCAGTGTGTGCCGGGACAGGGACAGGGACATGGGGACGGGCCGGGGGTCTGACGCTGTCCCCACAGGTCCGGTGTGTGCAGGAGTCGTGGGGCTGAAGATGCCGCGGTACTGCCTGTTCGGGGACACGGTGAACACGGCGTCACGGATGGAGTCCAACGGGGAAGGTCGGGAGGGCCGGGGGGGGGGGGCCGGAGGCTGGGGGCGTCCGGGGGACACCCGGGGGGGCTGAGGGTCCCTCCCCCCCCAGCCCTGAAGATCCATATCTCGGGGGTGACCAAGGCGGTGCTGGAGGAATTCGGGTGCTTCGAGCTGGAGCTCAGGGGGGACGTGGAGATGAAGGTGAGCCCCGGCTCCCCCAAAACAGCCCCGACCCCCCCAAACAGCCCAGACTCCCCCAAACTGCCCTGACTCCCCCAAACTGCCCTGACCCCCCCAAACTGCCCCGCCCTCCCCTCAGACTTCCCTGACTCCCCCAAACTGCCCCAGCCCCCCTCAATGGACCCCCAATGGGGACCCTCCCCACACCTCAAACCCATGGGGCAATGCCCCCCCTTCACTCCCCCCTGCACCCCAAACCTTGGGGTGATGTCCCCCCCGGACAATCCCCCCCCTTGCACCCCAAATCTTGGGCTCTCCCCTGACCCCCCCTCTCCCAGGGTAAGGGGAAGCTCAGGACCTACTGGCTCCTGGGGGAGCGTGGGAGCAGCATACGGGGGTGACCCCCCTCGCACCCCAAAAACACCACTCGGACCCCCAGCCACGGCCTCCCCCTCTGGCCGGGGGCTGGGGACCCCCCAAACCGACCTCGGAGAGGACCCCCAGCACCCCGCGGGCACCGGGGGGGACACGGAGAGCTGGGGGGACACGGAGGGGGGCTAGGGGGCCCTTGGGGGCTCCCCCCGCCCCCCGGGGGGGCACGAGAGCTCTAATTTTTGTAATAAAGCTGCTGTGGACGCACTCGGGGGTCTCTGGGGGGTCTCCATGGGGTCTCTGGGGTCCCCCCCGCACCGGGGTCCAACTGGGAGTGGGGGTGGCTCCGGGGGCATCCCCGAGTGGAGGGTTGGGGGGATCGAGAGGTCTCGGGGGGTCCCGGGGGGATCCCTGGTGTCCAAGGGGTTCCCGGGGGCGGTTCCCGGGGAGGTACCGGGGGGGTTCCCGGATTGCTCGGGGGTTCCCGGGGGCTTCCCGGGAGGTTCCTGTAGGGTCGGGGGGTCCCGGAGGTCCAGGGGGTTCTCAGTGGGGTCCCGGGGGAGGGGGTCACTGACGTCCGAGGGCTTCCCGCTGGTTCCCGCTGCTCTCCCCGCGCGCGGGTGGGCGGAGCCTCGTCCCGCCCAAACCCCTCCCCCTCCTCCCCATTGGCCGCCTCACCCCGCGCGGCCCCTCCCTCCTTCGGTCCTGTCACTCACAGCCGTCCCCGCGCTCCCTTTGGTTGACACTGGAAGGAGGGGCGGGACTTCCCTCCCGTGCCGCGCTTCCGCTTCCGGCCGGGCGCCGCCGTCCCTCTCCGGTAACTTCCGGGTGCCGCCGCCGCCCCCGGGCCCAGAGCGACCCCCCGGGACCCCGCCCGGGACCCCTTGCTCCGGGACCGCCCCCACGGGGGGCCCCCCACCCCCCCCGACATCCCCCGGGCCGCGGCGCCGCGCCCCCGGCCCCCCCCCAGGGGCCCCCCCCCGAAGCTCATCCCCCCTCCAGAGCTCAGGACCCCCCATAACCCCCCAGAAATCAACCCCCAGAGCTCAGGACCTCCCAATATCTCCCCCAGAGATCCCCAAAACTCATCCCTCCCCCACCTCCCCAGCCCTAAATATCCACTCACAACCCCCCCCAGGACCGCCGCGGACCCCCCCACCCCATCCCATCCGTGC